GCCCATGTGGAGTGGGGGGCATCTTGGCTGAGCGCCATGGCTGCCAGGTCACCTGGCCATGGTGCTCAGCCAGGGTGTACCACGCTCCATATGGGCAGGCGCAGACGAGAAGCTGCCCGCTCAGCTGGAGCACAGTTCAGCCTCCTCTGGGCTGAACGCCACAGCCAGCTGGCCAGGCAGCTTCTCCTCTGTGCCAGCCCACGTGGAGCGTGGTGCACCCTGGCTGAGCGCCATGGCCTGCTGGCTGGGCAGCTGCTTCTCTTCCCTCCAGCCCGGCTGCCCTGCGTTCAGCCCAGGGAGGCTGTGCCTAGCCCCAGCTGTGAAAGCCACAGTCAGCTGGCTGGGGTGTTTCAGCCTTCCCGACCTCCCAACTCCCACCATTCCTTGCAGCTACTCACCTGTGTTTTTGCTCAGTGAGTAGCTGATCCTCAAATGAGGAAATCTAATGGAAATGTACTGCGCAGGTGCACAGTTCAGAGAGGGCTCAAGAGCTACTCTTAGAGCCCCCGAGATCTACCAGTAGCTCACGATCTACTGGTTGGTGACCACAGCCCTAGTTACCTATTTCTCCCCTCTCCTGCCCCCCCTCATTTCCTGCAACTGTAAAAAGTCAGATTGGTAACAAGTGGACAGAAATGCTCACCACATTTTTGTGCCATTGTGAAAAGTTAACTCAAGAATTACTGAAAAAAAATCTAGCAGTACTGCCTATATACATCAGTGAATCCTGCCAGGCCTGGCTGTCCCTGCATAGCCACAGACTCTGCCCTTTCTGTGCCTCCTGACGAGTGGGGACACACCCAGTGAAGGGACCCCATGGAAACATGGGTCCAGTGCCCTGCAGGCTGGAATGTTCCCGGGGGCTGCTCCGTGCGCAGCCCGTCCCAAGCCCAAGAGGGACATATGTTGCTGCTACTGCTGGCCCAGGCTGACCAGGTGGCTGCAGGCAGGGCCTGGGGCTGCCCGGGGTCTGGCCTTCTGCTTTGCCCTTCACTTTGGTGGTGGGCTTGTTTATTTCTGCAGCAAGTGGTTGGCTCCAGGTGCACCAGCTGCTCTAAATAGCTGGGAAAGCCCCTTGCTGGGCCTGGGAGGGTTTGTCTTTCAGGCTGTTGATGACCCCGTGCCTCACTCCTGCTCTGCCCCCCTGCGACTGCAGGGCCAGGCTAACATCCAAGACGGCCTTGTTTGTGGGGTGATAGCTGCTGGGTGTGTGGCTCCATCTTGCTCATGGCAGGGAGGTTGTTTGGTGGGGAGGAAGATTGTGGAGCAGCAGTAACTACAGCACCACAGCATCCATTTACCTGCCCTTGCACTGCTCTCCTGGCACTTGCAGGGCATCAGTGTATGTAGATGGGGTCTGTGGCAGGGGCACATATAGGTTGTGAGGAAGGGGAAGGGGTGGCAAGTGTGGGGGCTGCAGCTCAGCTTAGAATCATAGAACCATAGAGTTGGAAGAGACCTCAGAAGGTCATCAAGTCCAGCCCCCTTCCCTAAGCAGGACCAATCCCAACTAAACCCAGCCAGGGCTTTGTCAAGCTGAGACTTAAAAATCTCGAGGGATGGAGACTCCACTACTTCCTTAGGGTAACCCATTCCAGTACTTCACCACTCTCCCAGTGAAATAGTTTTTCCTAATATCCAACCTGTCCTCTCCCACCATAACTTGAGACCATTGCTCCTTGTTCTGCCATTTGTCACTACTGAGAACAGCCCTTTTCCATCCTCTTTGGAACCTCCCTTCAGGAAGTTGAAGGCTGCTATCAAATCCCCCCTCACTCTTCGCTTTTGCAGACTAAACAGACCCAACTCCCCCAGACTCTCCTCATAGGTCATATGCTCCAGCCCCCTAATCATTTTGGTTGTCCTCCACTGGACCCTCTCCAATGCATCCACATCCTTTTTGTAGTGGGGGGCTTGAAGGAGTTGGGAGGATTGGCACAATTGGGCTGGGGGAGGAGGATTGGGGCGGCAAAGCTGGGGAGGCTTCAGCATAGCGTGAGGGAGTTGGCGGGGATTGGCTCAGTTGGGATGGAGGGAGGAGTTGCGACCCAGCATCCTGTGTTACTTGTTGGTAAGGCTTTGGGTATATGGGCGCACCAACTTGAGGCTGGGTCTCAGGGGCTGCTCAGGCTGTGCAATGGCCATGTCTCGGGTTGGCCCGGCACTGCCTACTTTCTCTATTGTTAAATTATAAAAATTAAACTCCGTGCATATCGCTCCCTCTTTCTCTGTCTGTTGGTGCTTCCTGAAGCTCACATTGGGCTGGGGATGGGGAATGGCTGAGAAGAGGGCTGGGTGCTGGCTGGAGAGCACATAGAGATGCTGTGAGAGGACTGCAGATTGTGCAGGGGGAGGGATTTGAACACAGGATGAGGAGGGGGCCCTGGCATGAGTGGCGCAGAGGCATGGGGTTCTGGCTGGGGCAGTTGGCTGAGGGGGCCCAATGGAGGCCCTGGCATGGGCAGTGGGTGAGCAAAGCTTCTGGGGTTTTTTTTGGTTTTTAATTTTGATTTTTTTTTATCATCAGTGTCAGTATATCACACACACAGCCTCCAGACCTGCCCATACATTGCTGAGCTCAGGATAGTGCCCAGAGGCAGCCATGGCTGCAGAGAGCCCCACGGAAAGTCTCCAGGAGGAAGTGACATGTCCCGTATGCCTGGAGGATTTCACAGCGCCTGTCACTCTGGAGTGTGGGCACAATTTCTGCAAGGCCTGCCTCAGCCGGTGCTGGGAGGCACCAGACCCAGCCGCCTCCTGCCTGCAGTGCAGAGACACTGTGCAGCAGAGACCCCTTCGGCCCAACAGGCAGCTGGCAAATGTGCTAGAACTAGCCAAGCACCTGAGTTTCCAGGCAGCAAAGAGAGCAAGATGGGGTGGGATGCGTGTGAAGCACCAGGAGTCTCTGAAGCTGTTCTGTGAAGAGGATCAAACTCCCATCTGTGTGGTGTATGATAGATCCCGGGCTCCCACAGTGGTGTCCATTCCGGAAGCTGTCCAGGAGTACAAGGTACAGAGTTGCTGTCCAGTGTAATGGGAAATAAGTTTGGGTTTTAATTACAGGCTAATTTCACTGACACAGGTGTGACAGAGCTCTGTAAAGCCTTCAAGGTACAAGAGATGCTGTAAAAAATAAATGCTCTGGCTGTGTGGTAACTTATGTCAAGTCTTTACAGATACCCGATGTGGAAAACTTTACTATGAGACTCTGAATCCTGAGACCCAGCCTTCACTAGTGACAGGAGGTGTTTTTACACAAGGAAAGGTGTTAATAATCAGAGAGGTTTCGATCACAGGAGCTGCCTTGGGACTGGAGAAGAGGCATTTACAAGCTGTTATGGATTCGATGAAAAGCAGTAACAATCTGTCATTGCCTTGCAGACCCGCAATGGCATCTGGGCCTTGTACAACACCCAGCAAGGGACAATCCCTGCCCAAAGTAGGTTACAGTTTAGTTAGACGGGAAGGGAAAGTGGGGTAGCAAGTTGCTCTTAATCACCAAGCATGTTTGTGATAGAGTTTGCACAGAATCCCGGTCTCTCCAGTCTCAGTCCAAGGCCCTAACCGCTAGGCTCCACTCCCTCCTTCCCCACAGCATCACTGAACAGTGATGAAATGTGGGCCTTAGGTGGGGAAAACACTTTTATAAAGCCCCAGGCCCAGCAGAAGAGGAGCTTTCCCATTGAGATGCTGAACCCCTAACCTGCTCCATGAGAGTTTAAACTCAGATGCTGCAACTGGCACTAGAGGAACTCACTGGGCTGGACGCTGTGTGGGGCCCCCAAGCACCCTGAATCCAGACACAACAGGGCTCCAGGCATCACAGGCCCGTGCCAGATACCACTGGGATTTGACTGGGTTGTAGCAAGAGTTCAAACCGATTAACTGGTGAGCTAATGCTTATTGGTGCCAGTTACCAGTTAAACTGCCCCCTACTCCGGCAGTGCCCACTAGCCCCTGGCAGCTAATGTCAGTCTGCAGCTGCTGGAAGTTGCGTCTGCTGGCAGTCCTTTTGGTCACCCTCAGCAGACGCCACAAGAGAGCCCCGACCCCAGGAGAGCCCATGTCTGCTACCGGCCCTGCCCGTTGGCAGGTTAAAAGTATTGCAACTGATTAAATTGTAATCCGTTATGCGATTAGTATTTGTAACCCTTTTTACCTCCCTAATCCCCACCTGCATCATTCTTTACAAAGATGTCACCACCGATCCATCCCGCATCCTCACAGGCATCCTGCTGCATCCACAGTCTCCTCCTGTCCCTTTTTCAATGGGCAAAGCCACGTTCAGGGCTGAGTCCCTGCTGGACAGAATCAGAGCTCTACAAAACTGGGATGGTGCCGCTTAAAGGCAGACAATTGGGCTCCCAGTATCTCATGGGTTTGACCCTGGTGCTTATTTCTGTTTCTTCAGGAAAAATGTGTAGCCCATTTGAAGACTCTGAGAGAAGAGAGAGAAATGCTACTGGGATGGAAAGTGACTGGCGAGGGGAAAAGCCAGGAGTATCTGGTAAGTACCTGTGGTTATGAACCAGCAGGGACTGGCAGTGAAAGGTCTGGTTAGGAGGAGGACTCCTATGTGGCCTTGGCAAGTTTGGGCTTGTTGTGTTTCTCTTGGATCATGAGTTGCTGGGTTAGATCCATGTGTGAACAGGCCCTGAGCTTCCATGTCAGTGGATGAGTTAATGTCCAGCCTTCCCAGAAATCCTCCCCAAGGGAGCTGAATGTCTGCTGTGTCTGGTCACTTTGTGCATTAACAGCTTTGTTTCTTTTTCCCTACTGGGTATCTCTGTTAGGCTGGTGCTGAGTCCTGCCTCCTGCTACTCTGAGTCTGAATTCCCAGAGCCTACAAATAATAGAACATGCTGCCCATGACAGAGGGACACAGGGGCCAAAGGGGAAGCTGGGAGATGTCGCTGCCTAGTATCCACAGAGCAGGATGAGGAGGGGGCCAAATGTCACAAATTGTAGAGTTTTCTAAGAAGTTCTTCCTGCTTCGCACTCAGCTCCCAATAAAAGGGCCCCGGGCTCCATTCATGTCCCTGACCAGCCCTTTCCCTGTTTTCATACAGAAACAGACACAAGCCGAGAGGCAGAAGATTGTGGCTGAGTTTCAGCAGCTGCGGCTGTTCCTAGAGGAACAAGAGCAACTCCTGCTGGCCCAGCTGGAAAAGCTGGATGAGGAGATTGTGAAGTTCCAGACTGAAACTGTCAGTAAACTCTCTGCACAGATTTCCAGTCTCAGCAAGCTGATCGATGAGCTGGAGCGGAAGTGGCTGAAGCCAGCGAGTGAATTCCTGCAGGTGAGACTGAGGGAGAAACATCCCAACTACCCACACAAGGAAGAGAGGCTCCTGAATTACAAGCGCTGGGGTCCAGTCATCAGATCTCGGTGTAACTTGGTGTGTGCATTGCTGACATGTGAGTGTTGTGCCTTGCAGAGTTACACATACAGAGATAGTAGAGATGGCAAAGCCCCATTTGCTTCAGGGGTCTATGGCTCTGCGGCTTGGGCATGACCTCTCCCCCATGTTCACAAAATCTCTTCCCTGGGATCTCCTGTGTGTGTGTCCAATGGGGCTGAGATTCTTTTCTATCTCTTTTCTCTAGGATGTCAGAAGCACCTTGAGCAGGTAGGTGGCTCTCACTCCCCTCACACTGCACAGCGCAGGGATAGAGCTTGGAGCTGATGTTGGCACCACATCTCCCCAGGGCTCTACAGCCAGATGTTGGATACAAATCTCTGAGTCATTTAACTCTGAGGGTCTCATCTTGCACAGCAGACTCTGGAATTTTCCATTCAGAGGCACAGTCTGACCTCAAGTGTTTACTAGAAATGTCACTTCCTGGCTGCCTCAGGACTGTGAGGATGGAACATGGGACTGTCACTGCTGGACACTGAGCACCATTCAGCCCAGGGCAGCAGGGATCAAAAGAGTTTCCCATCAAAGGACTGTTTGGAGACTTGTGTGGAATGAGCTGGGGAAGGGGGAGCTGCTGTCTCAGTTTAGTTCAGGCCTGGGCAAAATACCACCCACAAACCAGATCTGGCCCACCAAGCCACTGGATTTGGCCCACAGAGGCAGTGGGGAGCTCCAGGTAGGCCCCCTGCTTGCCTCACATACCACTCAGAAACAGAGCTTCAGGGCACTTCCTCTTTAAGTCTGGAAGGGAGAAGAATCAGACGCTGCTCCCGCCCCCAGCACAATCCCCTTGGGCACTTTCTGGACAGACATTGGCCAACAGGAGTTGCCTGTTTGAATAATAGGCAGCCACAAAGTACAATCCTCCTGCTCGCTCACTCAAGTACATTGCCCAGCAGGCAGAAACATTTTAAGCTCTGCAAGCCTTTAGCTCTGCAGGCAGGCTGGTAAGTCTCCTGATGAGAATGTGCCTCTGGCACCTCAGCCCCTCCCTTCCCCCACCCCCCGTCCCCCCTTCTTT